TGCTTACTGACATCGGCAGAAGGTTTTTTTCCAGGTGGGGCAGCCCTGTTGGTCTGCAGCATAAGAGCAAGATGCGAGTCCAGCAGCACCTTGAAGACCACCACCAAGATTTCCGGGATATAAGGTTTCAGGGGTCAAAGATCCCCGCACCACATGCCTCTGCTATCTGACAAAGGGAGTTTTGCCTCTCGAAAGCTTACACCCTAGACATCTTGCTGGTCGTTAAGGTGCTGCCGGACTCAGATCCTGATGTCAGCAGAATTTTTCTTTTCAGTTCAGCTCTATTTGTGCTGCTACGACCATGTGACACCAGGAATATCACCTAACGATAGAAATAGTGTAATGATGTAATGGCAATGATTTCTGTTGTTGGTTTTTTTAGTTTTTTTTAAAGAAATGGCAACTCCAGCACACACCTGACAACCTGAATGTCAACAACTAAAAATGCACCAGCCCGACCGAAGCCGTGGCTACTGTACGGATGCAAAGCTGCTTGACGCAAACTGCAGCAACACCCATGGAGGTTATCTGATTATGAGGTCACCTTGCCGTCGTGTTTGCGTCAGAACTCACAGCACGCCTCGTGACAAGTTGGCTAGGGGAATTCAGTCTCTGAACATATTGGCCATGGAGGATTTAGCCTTCAGGAAGAAGAAATTGTCCACCTGTGCTTGAAGTTACCCCTCAGCCCTTCAACAAGCTCCTGCTCTGAAAAGTATGCAGATGGAGAGTGATTTCAGTTAAGCATACCTTTATTAGTCGGGAAAAAAAGACACTTTGGCCAGCTGCAGGCCGGTTTATATTCCCTCAGAACCCACCACCAAAATACACACCCCACTTCCCGATAGGCTATTTACAGTAACCGAGAGACCTATTGGCCTCACGGTTTAGGACCTAGCCCACTGATAGGGCCGGCTAGGATCCTTCTGGCCCATTGTCTTTAGAGGTGAAGCTTAAGGTTTTGTCCCTGGACAAGTCCGGACATGCCCGGCCTTGTCAGGGCTGGATACACTACATGCTCCTTAAATGGAAACTGTCCTTTCACAAATTAAAAGTTGGTTTGGTTTTAAATGGCAGGGCAAAACCATGCTGCAGGTGATGGTCCACCCACTGGCCTGCCCGGCCACAGCCCTGCCCCACTTGGATAGGCCACTTCCCACGCTGGCTTGGCCTGCTCTTACACAGTAACTGCAGACAAATATGCAAGAATCAGGCACAGAAATTGAAATTCACAGGCATAACCTGGGAAAGGACTGCTAAGAGATGGTTGAGGAAACATTGCATTAAATAGGCTGGGGAAGGACAAGTCAAAAAAGGAGCCAGCAGGGTTTTTTTTTTGGGGGGGGGATCTTCCTTTGAGTGACTGAGTCCCAGTTCTCTTTGGGACACAGAGGCCTTCTTGCCTTTGGCTACATCCCCTTCCCCATTATGTGTCTCACAAATCCCTGCATTGTAGTGCAGCTCAGCTTGCGTCATTCGTGTGGGCACAAGTGTGCAGAGACTGGTAGGACCTGTGCCATCTTGGCTGATGGGTGAGCACGGCCTTTCCCTCCTACTCAGAGGAACAGTGCCACTCTTTTTGTCCCTGGGTGGAGGGTAAGTAGCCTACTGGGCTATTCTGCTGACTAAGCAAAGGGCAACACAGTAGCCAGAGAGAGTGGCACCTGGCCAAGATGAGGCATGAGAAGGAAAGAGACTGAACAAGCAAAGTATCTCATCCAAACCCGATTGTGTCTGAAAGTCGCAAAGAAAAGAACCTGCCAAGATTACTTCCTGCTTCAGGACTACCTCCAGGACAGTGTGGATTAGAAGTTCAAATAAACAAATGACAAGTCAATCAACAGAGGCATAATGTTTCCTTGCCAATGCAATGCAGTGGTAAACTCACTTCAGCCTATTATAGTGTTGCAGACTGCAGCAGAACAGTACAGATTGCAAATGTACCCCCAGGGTATACTTTGGAAGGGGAGGTGCTTGGGTATACTGACATGCCCACCTGAAATGAGACTCAATGGTGGCCACAGAGGTAGACACCTGAACACCAGCTGCTCTCTCTAATATCTTTCTGAGCATATTCAGGAATGTAACTTTCTAGGAATATCAACCGTGAATGGCCATCTGAATACCTGGCTCTGAAATTGTGGGACTGGGCTGCAACTAGACTTAAAGTGCCCCACTGGGAGCAATCTAGTGTGCAAGTGTCTGCTGGTGGATACATCTACCAAAGTCGTCCTGCTGCTTTTAGTCCTCCTGTTGCTCCCTTCACTTTTCTTGCTCCATATGTCCATTTTTCAGTTCTAGGCAATTGCTCCTGCTAGTGTGCACACACTGCTCCAGAAATCAAAAGCTTGGGCGGAGACCGTGTTCAAGGTGGAACCCCATCAGATCCTCTTGCATTGCAGCTCTATGGAGGCACCTCTGGCAAAATTGCATCCCTTCCTCTTTGCCAAAACAAATACATGCCTGAAGAATGGGCTTCAATTCCAACCTACTCTCATCTCTGCCCACTTTATTGCTACTTATTTTTAGCCCTCTGCACTAGAATGCAAATGTGCAGGGGATGGAACCTTAGTTTGGAACCAGATTTGAGGATCAGCACATTGAGAGAAGATGCACATACAGGTCCATACACCATGCATCAGTGCAAACTGAAAGGTAGGTCTTGTATGAAGCTGCTAGGATGTCCTTGGTTCAAATCACACCTCGCATAAGAACTCACTAGATGGCCTTAGGTGAACCTCTAGCTCTCAGCCTCAGCCCCCATAGGCAATATGGGAATAAACAATATAGAGATCAGGTAAGTGGTGCTTTGAACACTCAACGAATACCCTCTAGACAAGCAGTGGAAGCTCTCAGGTATATGAAGTGCTTTGAACACTCAACAAATACCCTCTAGACAAGCAGTGGAAGCTCTAGAGCTGGGTAGTTCCCTTTGGAAGAGAAAGTCCTCGAGATTTAAGGTTTTTTGTATGCTTTGTTTACAAATATATAAGCAGAATTCAGGTGGAGGCAAAGAAGTACAGTCAGCAGACCTGCTACCCTGCATGAGAGAAAAACAGGGATCTCCTGTACCTGCAAGGTACTTTAGCTAACTTCAGTAGTGGTTTTCTGCTTCTCTCTCGAACCCATCACTGAAACCACACTTTCTTTTCTGCACAGTCAGAAGCTGCTCTTTCTTTTGGTGTTTGGCTCTGAGACACCTTTGGCTAGTGAAGGGCGGGGCATAAATCCAATCTCTCCTTCATCTTCTTAAGAGGGGAGAGTCATCCTTTTCCAGTCCTGATGGGCACATTAATAGAACTATTTCCTAACCCTCGACACTCACTGACATTCAAAACCCAATCCTTAAGATGTGTTGCCATTCGCTTTGTCACGATAGCCTGGGACACAGTCATCAGCCAACAACACTTTCATCAACAATCAGAACATTACCAGGACCCCCTGCACACATTTATTTCAAGTCGTGGTAATACAGCTTTAAAAAGAAGATAGAAATGGGAGTACGTTTTGCAAATCAGCCTATAAGCAATGCTCCTTCTAAGCTGTGGAGTCTTGTGAGTAAAAATTCTATTTTGTGAGCTACTGGCATTAAAGTTGTGATTCAGCAATTTGGCTACTGCATAAATCAGTTTGCGCTGGTGCCATCCTTCCTGAGCTAAGACAAGAAAGGTGTGAGCTGGAGGCTAAAAAACTGAGCTAGATCACACTAACTCAGCTTAGAGGGAACACTGCATAAGTTACCACACATTGGCTGTTCACATTTTTACTGTGTGAACTGGCAAAATCCAGTTGGGAAGTGCATTGAAAGTGGATTATTTAGTGTGTCTGACCGCAGCCACGGTGTCCCTGCATCTATAATATTTACGGGCAACAGGATGTTCTTTTAAAACCCAAGGCTTTAGAGTGTGTCATAAATCCCAGCTCTCAATGTGTACAAAACAGCACATAACTCTCCTGTCCAAACCAAATCAAAACGCATGGGACTTTGTGCTCTTACACAACTCTTATTTAATTTCAGTTCGGCTTGTGCAGAAGTTCCTAGTAAAGTTGTACCCAATTTTAATAGATTGTTACTAGCTCTAAGGTGTCAAAGTGAGGTCCTCCATCACTGGTAAGAAAGCAATCAGGAAGCATGAGAACAGGTGCAATTGAAAAAAAACAACCACTCTGTCTTTCCAGTGCAGTAGTAGATTCCGGTAGATTCATCATCTCAACAGAAAAATGACGTTTCTCATGCATATTTCCCTTGGAAGTCTTTTAAAAACATTTTACTAACAAACAACATACTTAAAAGCTTCCATGTGTCACTAAGATCATTTTGAATTAAAAAAAATAGTGTTCTCGAAAAAGCATGCTGCTAGAAACACTTTGGCAGCTTAATCCTATGCACGTTTATTCAAAAGTAAGTTCCACTGAGCTGAATAGGATTTACTCCCCAGTGTGTGCCCTGACCTGGATAGCCCAGGCTAGCCCGATCTCATCTAGATCTTGGAAGCTAAGCAGGGCCAACCCTGGCTAGTATTTGGATGGGAAACCTCCAAGGAATACCAGGGTTATGACAGGCAATGGCAAATCACCTCTGAAAACCCTACAGAGTCACCATAAGTCAGCTGTGACCTGACCACACTTTCCAACACCATGGTAAGCACAGTAAATTGTGCATAGTTAAAACTGGAAAGATTATGTATTAAATTTCAGGTTTTGTGCTAGATGTTAAGTACAGTGTGTTATGCACATGAGCCATGCTAAATAACGGGCAGTTTTAAATTTGCACATGCCTGAATTAACAGACCTACGCATGTGAGACAAATGTGGCAGAGGAAGAAGAAACCTTATTCCATGAGATGTGGTCTCGTCACACATGAACACACACGGAACTACAGTATACTGAATCAGACCATCAGTCCACCGAAGTCAGTATTGTCTACTCAGACAGGCAGTGGCTCTACAGGTCTCAGGTAGAGGTCTTTCACATCGACTACGGCCTGGTTGTTTTTAACTGAAGATGCCAGGAATTGAACCTGGGACCTTCTGCATGCAAAGCAGAGGCTCTACCCACTGAGCCACAGCACCTCCCAGAGCTTTCTCAAAACTCCACTTTGTCTGTAGACCTGCACGGGGGTGGATGCTGTTGGGTGGATGTTGACTATTTGTGCACATGAAAATACATCTTGTAGCCCTGACTTGGAGCGCCTGTGCCCTTGGTGGAGAGCAGGAGTTCACCTCAGGACAACACAGCACGAAACAGACACCCCACCCAGAGACTGAAACGTAACTGACTACTTTGCCTGTTATTCAACAGCTCTGGTGAAAGGTTGCAAACATCACACACCCTTCCCTGAGGGACAGAGACTGTGGCAGCAGGCCAGAGACCTTATCGCTGATATGGATGGAACATAGGAGGGCAGGAAAACAAGGCCAGTCAGAGAAGGCTAGGACCTGCCATCTCTGCTCTCTTCATCTAGCATGGCTTGTGCTGTCCTTCAATAGATTTACGTCTCTATATAGCCCTACGTCTCCAAAGAACCCAAAGCTGCTAGTGAGCAGGGAAAGCCATACCCATTTCCTGCCATGATGTTCCTGTTCAAGTGGAAGAGGAAATGTTTTGTTCCTGTCCTTTAAAGCTCTTGATGTAGCTGTCCTGCTGTTCTCCCAGGCTGTGAAACGAGATGCTTTAAATTATCCAAGCAGCCATGCGCATGGCATGACAGGAGACCAAGGCCCTTTCCACATTCTCCTTTTAATCCATGTTCACCGTAGTGTCCTCCAAACAAATCTGCACTAAAATCAAATTCAACGTTCTTTTTATTCTGTTTTCCCCCCCCCCCCCAATCCTGCACTAAGATCAAATTCAACATTCTTTTTATTCTGGGTTTTTCCCCTGTTCTGCATTACGTCACCTCCCTTCAGTGGTCAGCCCAGTTTCAGCCTGCTGTTGCCCTGGGTTATTTGGATGCTGTTTTGCCATGGACTTAAATTGCCTCGACTAGAACACTGAGAAAATCAAGAGTGGCTGGCAAATGCAGAAAGGACCCAAGAGCTCTTAGGGGAAGGAAGAGACCTCGTTAAACCTTCTGCTTGCTGCTAGCGCAGAAAGAAAGAGAGGTTGGAACAACACGGCAGGGGCTGCTCACTTTGCAATCCCTCTGTCTTGCTCTTCCATGCTGCACCAAAGGACTCTGTGGCCTGGATGTCTTACTTTGTGGCCTCAGCTGACAAGCAAGTATAAGGCAAGATGCTGTGTTGTGAAAAGGGAGGTGGTGTCAGGAGCATCCTCACTATTTTAACATGACCATATGCAATGGTCTGTGTAAATTACTGGGTTCGCCGCATGGAGGACTCGGACTACAACATGCGTTCAGACGCGTTTATTGTACTTCACAACAACACAAACTAAACGGCCCTGCAAGGCCAACTATATACACTCCACCTGGCATACCTATGTTCCCATTGAAGGGTTTGAATTTCCCGCTAAGGGTGCTATTAGTGGACTCGAGGTGGACTAGGATCCCTTTGTGTTTGGGGACCAAGCTCCTGCTTTAGCCGCGGACCCCTGCTGGCGGTCCGCGTACATAACAGTCTGCCTTATCCTAAGCCACTCCAGTGGTACTTAATGATAAAACAGTGATATCCTGTTTTTCCCTCCATTCATGGCAGTTTACAAATCTAAATATCTGGGCAAGACCAAGTTGAGAGTTGTTTCCCATCTCTGCTATTTGGGGACCTTTTAATTAGCAACGCCAGGGAATGAACCTGGGACTTCACATGTACAAAATGTGTGCTCTGCCACAACATAAATGAAATCCAAATAAATATTTTTCTAGAGAAAGAAGAGTGTTTGATTATTGCAACTCAAGACTAAAGGTAAATGGCAAAGGCGGCAGGAGGAGGAGGACAAAGAAAGGGCCCAGCCTGTGGTAATGTGCAGAGGGCTTTTCCTGTACTCACCTGGCTGCCTCTTTTCCTAACATAACATAAGAGTAGCCATGTTGGGTCAGAACAATGGGCCATCAGCTCCAGTATCCTGTTTCCAACGGTGGCCAGTCAGATGCTACAGGGGAAACCCACGAAGGGTGTGTGTGTGTCTTCAGACAACAGTTCTCATCCACTGACTACTTCCCAGCAACTGACAATCTGAATGTAGATGTCCCTTTTGGCTATTATGGCTAAAAGCCAATGATAGACCTATCATCCATAAAAGTGTCCCCTTTTAAATCCATCTAAGCCAGTGAACATCACCCCATCTTGTGGCAGAGAGCTCCACAAGTCAACTGCCCAGTTTGGTGTAGTGGTTAAGTGTGCAGACTCTAATCTGGGAGAACCGGGTTTGATTCCCCACTCCTCCACTTGCACCTGCTGATGTGACCTTGGGTCAGTCACAAGCTCTGGCACAGCTGTCCTTGAAAAAGAGCAGTTTGTGTCAGAGTTCTCTCAGCCCCACCCACCTCACAGGGTGTCTGTCTGTTGTGGGGAGGGGAAGGGAAAGGAGTTTGTAAGCCGCTCTGAGACTCCAAGTGAAGGGCGGGGTATAAATCCAATCTCCTCCTCCTCCTCCTCCTCTTCTTCTTCTTCTTCGTTGAACTAGAATTACCAGCCTCTAGGTGGTGGCTGGAGATCTGCTGTTACAATCGATCTCCAGGCAACCAACCAGTTCCCCCAGAGAAAATGGCTGCTTTGGAGGATGGTCTCTATGTCATTATACCCTGCTGAGGTCCCTCCCCAAACCCAACCGTCCACAGGCTCCACCCCCAAAATCTCCAGGTATTTCCCTACCCAGAGCTGGCAACCCGAAGTTGAACACACAAAGCTGCATTTTACTGAACCAGACTATCAGTATTGTCGATTCTGGGCAAGAACGGCTCTCCTGGGTTTTACACAGAAGTTTTTCACATAAACTACAGTATTTACTGATATGCAAGACTAGGTTATTTTTCCAGGTATGCCAACAACAACAAAAAGTGGGGATTGTCTTACATTTGCATTCAAGTTAAAATTATGTCCACTAATATTTTTCAGTGCATGTATAGATACCATTTTGGAGGGCTATCTTACATTCAGGGTCATCTTCCTTCCAAGTAAATACAATAGACCTAATCCTTTTAACTGGAGGTGCTGTGGGTTGAATCTGTGGCCTTCTGCATGCCAAATAGATGCTCTGCCACTGAGCCATGCCCCTTCCTCATCATTTGCTGTACTCTTTTCTGTCCACTTTCTCTATGCCATACTTCTTCGATACCTCTCTGTGTCTTATTTCTACCCTCAAGAGATTGGCTCTCTTCACTCCTGCCTTCAATTTCCTTTTAATTAATCTCCTTTTCCTTAAGTTGCCTGTTTTGAAGGTAAACGTGGCTGCCTTGGATTGTTCTGGCACATTTACTGCTTACGTGTCTGTTGAAGTCAATAGCCTCTAGTGGTTACTGTTCTCTAGTCGTTATCCACTTTTACCTCTCACACCAGATCCTGGGTACCACTAAGGATCAAATCCTGGGTCACCTCCCCTCTTGTTGGCTCCATGACGAACAGTGTTCTCAGCCCATTGACTTCAATGGACTTAGATGGGTGTAGCTCTGTTTAGGGTGGCATTGTAACTATTCTCGGGTACTATAATTTAACTTGGTTAAAAATGCATTCTCTTTGTCAGGATCTGAGCAGACATTTGTCCAATCAATGTGAGGTAGCTGAAGTCTCCCATTGTTTCAACACTGTTTCTTTTAAAAACCTGTCTAATTGTTTTATCACACCCTTAGATCACACTGGGTGCATTCAGACGGGGTGTTTCAGCCGGCATAAACTG